GAACATATTTTTGTAGATTATTCATATTTTCAAACACGGTTTTTGATATATTAAACCTATTCAAACTAAAACATTAAACCGAACAACAGTCTTATCCTCGTCTTTGTTTTTTTTTTACTTATAAGAATCTTCAAAACATATGGATCGAAGTAATTCTCTAAGGATAAGAGAAGAACACTTTAGACCAGATGTTGTGCTCAACAAAATCGATATATTAAATGTACTTCTAATTTCCAATGATATTTCACCTCAAGAGGATTCTTCTGTCATAATAAACATTTTCTTCAAGTATATTTACTTTATAAAAACTTTTCTATGATCTTTAAAATAATTAAAAATCCTCAATAATTACACAACAATCTTAATTTATTTACTGAACATCCTATCATTATATAAAATCTCTTCAACGAAACACTCATTAATCATCTATCAACCTTGAAATAGATACATTGAATAGGTACATCTCATTGATAAGATACTCGTTTTTTTTTTTTAATCGAAACATATGTACATATATGTCAGGCATTATTCTTATATTTAAACAAACAGTAGAGAAAAGGTAATAGATGACAATTGTATATTTCTCACACATTCTTTAATTACAAGGTATGTTTGTCCTTGAAATGGCATTTGTATTGACAAAATACACATAAATAATTGCTTCGCTCATGTATCCCTTCTATACATATTGAATATGTTTTCTCTTTTTTTCAATCTCAAATAAATAAGAATGTTTTGAATAGACTTACTACTCCACGATTGGTAACAATAAATGCAATAGCACAAAGAAATAAAGCAAAACAAACTATAGCCAAAGCAAGAAATAATTTGTTAAGCATTATACAACATGATTTCATTTTATCTGGATGTTCATAACCATCATCAATATCTAGTTTATGATGTTGTTCAAGTTTTAAACCATTTGTTTGTTCATGTCCATTTGTTTTAGCTGTTTCTAAAGCTACATCATGTGCTTGATAATTAATATCCATTCGAGCTTGAAAATTTCCATCAACATTTGTTTGTTCAATTGATTCTAATGAATTTTCAATATGTGATTCAATTATTGGTATTGTTACTGGTTCAACAGTTACGGATGGAATAATTTGAGAACTAAGTGGACTACCTGATTTTGGACTTATTTGTGAAGCAGATGTCAATACAACGTTGTCCATTTTGTCTTGGTGGTGATGACAGGAAAAAAAAATATCTATGTGAAAAAGGCTCGAAATGAATATTTATGTGTCTACTTTTCTTTCTCTATCGTCCGTTTATCGACACTCGTCCGTATGAACAATAGATATGAAAGAGAGAAAGTGTGTGCATATGAAGGAGAACGAATCTCTTTCTCCTTGAGAATGAAGAGAAGGATAAACGGTCAGTCCTTCAATGACCTTCTTAATACTTCATGTGTATATAATATAGTTTAAAATAAACGAATGGCATACTGTTTAATTTATTCTTTCTACATTCTAATCAATGAAACGGAAGACTTGAAAGAAGACAAAACGATAACGGTCAATGTATATATATATAGATTTTTCACTTTCGACTTTCTTGATATATAACGTATGTGTGAATAATTGACAAGTCCATCCAATTATACATATATATAGATGTGTTTATAATGAAAAAAAATGAACAAATGCCATTCACTCCATGTAGAGTAAAAGTCAATGTCAATTAAATGTGTGAAAGCCTTTCAAATAGATTGAATATCATGCCAGTTAATTATAAACAAAAAAGTAAAAGTTTTATTTCTAATTTATCATTTTATCTGTATGTAAGAACTTATTGTTTATCGATCATTCGAAAAAAGCAAAATGAATAGTCATTGTGAGAATCGATATATTGTCAAAAAAAAAATACCAATAAATTTTCCAAATGTAATAGAACACCAAGTACTATGATATTCTAGTATTTTTGAAAGTTACTGATTCAATTGATTAGTTACTTTTTAAATGAAACCTTCCAGATTGTAGGTTATTGAGCATACTGATTCCGTATATGACCATGAGGAATCTCTCTGAATCTTTATCAGCTGGGTTTTTTTGAAAAACCGGTTTTTGAGATGAAGACGCTTTTTGTCAGAGGATCTTTTTGATTTGTCCAGACTATAGAACGTTTAGATTTGTTTAGAAAACAATAAGCTTTTCTGTTTCAAGGTGCTTCTTTTTTTTTTTTGCAGAAAGTATCATCATTTCAATTCATAAAACATATACTGATCAACATGTCATTGTAAAAATCTTCAAGATAATATTATTTTACTTGAAGCTATTTTTTAAAAAATAAAAAAAATATTGGTTTGTAGACAAATCGATAAAAAATGTTTTCTTTTTTTAAACTAGTATACATTACAACCTAAGGAGATGAATTTCTCATGATCATCTTTGCAATGACTATTAATTCAGTAGTTTTTCGCAAGAAAATGATTGATTATCATATTTGTATTCGAATTATTATTATTTTTCTTCTGACCAATGCATTGATGATCTCAATAATTATTGATTTCTCCTCTTTGAAATCATCAATGAAAAGTAAACTCTCACACAAGAAGAACGCTAATTACAATATATTTTTTATGTCAATAACGGACAGTAAATCGTGTAAATCTTATAAATGAACAAGAAAAATAACAAGAACATTTTTTTGCTTTCATTTTGTTTTGATGTACATCTTGCCGAAATATTTAAAACAAACAAAATGATTGCTATCTTTTTATAACAGAAACAGAGAATATGGTCGGCGTAAGGATTAAGATCACATGCTGTGTCAATGCTATATGAATATGAATCGAATTTTTTGAAGTGAATGTATCGAGCGGTATGTTGTTTTATTTTTGACGAGTTATGGAACTAATTGAAAACTATACCGTCATAGTGAGGAAGAAAGAAGTCAGATTAAGAATTATTTGTAAAACAGATGATTGTTAAACTCTAGTCACTTAAATGTGTAAAAAAGTGGAAAGAAAAAAGAAACAGAATTTTAGATTTCTTTTTTTTTTCATGCAAAAAATACAACAGTTGGTCAGGGGACAGCTTGAATTATTTATACATGAAAAAGTTCGATCAAATGATAATTCATGACATATGAAACATTGCATGTTAATGTTTTGTCTATTGATTAAAACGAACATATTTGATATCATGATGATGATTATGATCAATCAATTCTTATAACGTATAGATTTTCTTTTCCTGTATGCTAATATCAAATAAAAGATTTAGTTATCAAAGAATAAATACTAGAATTACAAACATAATAAAGAAAGACAAATTTAAAAGTAATGTCTTTGATGATGAATATACCTTTTTCTTCTAATGAAAAGAGAAAGATGCATTGATGTCTATATTGATTGAGTTTGGATATTTGATAACAATACAAGAATGCAAAGTAATTAGAGATTGATTCGATATTAAAACAACTATAATCCGATTGAATGATTTCAATCTGAAAAAAAATTAGATATCAATCTTGTATGAAAATTTGATGGTAATCAAATAAGTATGCTTAAGCGATTCTATTATTATCTACACACTAATCTAGAAACAACTGGAATGAATAATATTTTTATCTCTTAAGCTTAGGAGAACTGCATCTTATAATTCAATCATTGCAAATTTTAGCGTTATAGAAAACTTTGATTAAACAGTGATCGGAAGTATTAATAAAATATATTCGACTATGTTACTTAGGTGTGTAGTCACTATGACTCAGTGACTACGTAATTCAACACGTATTCACAAGGTACTGTGATTAAATCTTGATAACACTAGTTACAAAATGATCATGTACAAGTCACTAACGATTGTTTGTCTCGGAACACTCATCCGTCAGCATGATGACTACGCTGTAACATAAACTTACTCTTGTATCTATCATGTGATCAGTTGGTGCGTATGGAGCGCTCAAGCAATTGAACGCAAAAACTATGTGACGAAATGGCTTGTATCCAGAGCTACGGTTACTGCTAATTGCAAGAGAGATATTGAACTATTGAATCTTCTGCTAGGCAGTATCCCAAACTGAAAGTTGGTCAAAAATCAGAAGTGTTCTTCCTTCTTTTTTCTTTATTTAGTTACTGAATCGTTTAACTATGATGACTAAAAAAGCGATAAAATCATGTAATTTTTTAAGAACGATTTTCTGAAATGTCAAGTATGCCATAAAATTCCGCAACAAATTCTTCATCTTTGGATACCTACAACCTAATCATAAATACTTTTCAACTTAGCAATCACAAAATTCTTTTTAAGAATTAAATTTCTCATTTGACAGGGTGAAAATGACTGTTTCATTCATGGACGACAGAGCATTTCGAAGTGTCAAATCGCTTTTGAGTCGGGATTGGTCGTAGAAGCCGAGAGTACCAAATTCTTCATCCATTGATGATAACGGTGTTACTTTTTAGATTAGTTTTAATGCATAAAGAATAACCAATTAATAGATATCCACAGAAAATTGAAAATCGCAGTTAGAAGATTGAACATTCGTTTCCATTTTGAAATTTGCTGTAATAATAAAAATTTTTTTTGAAAAACGAATGGAATAGTTTTGTAGAGCGCATCCAAACAAGAAAATGATCTTGTTCTATTTAATATGTTCCATCTGTTACTAAACTAAACATTAAGATCTATAGTATAAGCCTCAACCAGCAAAGTTCTGAAAGCTGTTAAAGTAAATGAACATACTACACAGTCTAAAACTGCTATCAATTGTATGTTACTGTAGATGTTATTTGAGGATCGTGTTATAGATAGAACTCGCCGAGTTAGTTCCAGACTCGGATTCGAAAATGTTACACCCGTCGAACTCTATTCATAGGATAAAAGTTATAAATGAAATATAATAGTTGATTGATTTTTCATTAAATTATGAATATTGTTTACACTTCAATTTAAACTAACTGTCTTAAATAATATCTGTAATTAGTTCTGGAATACAATATAAAGAATAAAAAGAAAGAAAAAAAAATTAAATCATAGATGCGTAAAAATCAATCAAACATCATCGTCATGAGTGCCAATACCGGTAACATCCAGTGTATTTTTTCGACTAGGTTTATCATCTATTAGAGTTGTTCGCCTTTGTTCAGCTAATCTTTCAACTGTTTGTAAACGTTGACCAAGTGATGCCATATTTGATGTATATTCACCCATAAGACGTGCTAAACGTGTTTCTAAATTATCAATATTTCCTTCTAATCTTGCTACTTTTTCAGGTATAGCTGCTTCATCTTGTTGTGCTAATTGTGCTGCTTCTTCATCTAATAAATTATCTTTACGTAAATGTGCTTTTCCACGTTCAATTAATGTGTCACGTGCTGATGGATATTCAGCTAATACTTCCCATAAATCTTGCTTAGTTAAACAAAATAAATCTGAATAACCAACACTTCGAATATTTGCTGTACGACGATTACCAGTTTTACTTCCTTAAAAAGTAAAAACATTATTTAGCATGATTTTTCACAAAGAAAAAATCTAACCAGGTATATTAAGAATAGAAATTTCACCAAAAACACTTCCTTCTTCAAGTGTAACAAATATTTTTGTTCCATCGTCGGATACAACACTTAATCGACCACGTTTTATTATATACATTTCTTTACCAATATCACCTAAATAAAATTCAAATAAATAATAAGTCATTGAAATAATTATAGAATAAAAAAGTTGAATATCTTCATTTTGATTCAATCACAAAGGTTGCTTTTTTTGTCTTGTTGAGAGAAGCTTAGACAGTGTTGATTTTCATATATACGTATATGTAGCATAATTAAAGACGACTGTATGGCTTTGACTACAGAACGATGTATATGGAGACTTGTAAAGAGAAGATTCTTCGATCTAATGGTGTATGTACGACAAGATTCTACTGCGTACAGTTAACATGGCAAGTGATGATCCAGCCTTGGTCGCTCTCTAAAATGACAATGGCGCAGGTGATATCATTCATCGACATGATAATGGTAAGCAGTAGAATTTGATAATTCATACACTATTGAAAAGACGATATCTTTCTCTAGAAGCCTACAAATATTTCTTTCTTTAATGAAAAAGTATTGAAAAGAATCATAACCTATGATCAAGTAAGATAGATAGATCGATAGATATGCAGCGTTTTATCCAGATTTTCTGTTGTGGAAAGACACTTTAAACGTCAGGGCTAACCCGATTTTTCTAGAGACATCACTCTTCGCATTTCTCATGCTGAACACAACACTGTACATATGGAATCAAGTATAAATAATTTCTATTTTTCTATTATGATAATAAAAAGGAAAAAGAAATATAAACTAAATTAATGATAACAAATTGAATACAAATAAAGCAAACTTTTAAAGCTAGTTATTTAACAATCAATGATTACCATACTTCATATTCTCCAGCATGAAACATATTCGATGCTGAAAAAAGGTCAACTATATATTTAGATTATTGAACACGAGAATTCAAACGCTTCAACAAATTAGTTCAAAAAAAAAGATTTGCTCTCTCTATATATATATCAATGCGATACCATTAATAAAAGTTTGTTTTGATTTTTTTCTTATTGTTATCGTAGATGAAAAATGAAAATTATCAATAGGACGATCCTCATGTTTTTATTTAACAATAAGTTACAGATCTTGCATGATCCAATAATGATACGTCAAAGCAATATGTATTAATATTATTTCTATAAAAAAATACTTCAAATTAGCCACTATTACCAAGAAAAATATCAGACTATTTCATTAAATAAGACTATAAATGTTTCAATTTTCAATTGCATAGTTATGAAAAGCTCATGCGGTAGAAAACATAATAATTACCTTTTCTACAAACATAATCTCCAGGACTGAAAATTTGTAATTTTAATCTTGTGACAAGTTCAACAAGTAAACCTGGTTGAGCTTCAGCAAAAATAGGTACCCGTTTTAATGCCGCTAAATGTACATGTATAGCAATTTCGACACGTAATTTTTGTGGTAATGCACCTTTTGAATAAAATCCATAGAAAATATTAAATTAAAAAAAAAGAAAAACTTTTCTTATTATTACCTAAGACAATATCTTCATTAGCAACTTGTTTTTGTAACCATAAATAATCAAACCAAGTAATAACGCGTCGTTCAAGGTCTTTGCCAACTTTTCGAAATACCATATATTGTTTTACTTGATCAACTTTTTGTCGAAAATCAGCACGAACAGCATTCATACTAGCAATAATTGAACCAACATTTCCGACAACTATCAAAGTTATTTGTATTATAACAAAAAAAAAAATCTCAACAACAAAAAGAAAATGAAACTTACTTGTAGCAAAAATAAGCACACCCGTTAGAAAATCAGCAGTAACGAAAAGAACTTCAATCTAAACATTCTCATAATAGCATCATTATTAATGGTTCTACAAAAACAATATTCATAGTTTGTTCTTCGAATATCATTTACATCTGTAGACATACACAAACATCACTTTATTAGTTTTCTTTATCTAGTTAAAATAGTCTATCATTCACAGATGAAATTTCATAGCAATAAAAAAAAACTAATGCTAACTTTCTTTACTATTAGGAATGCACAATGTTAGTGTAAATACTGAAATACTAAACAGTGAGTCATTGACTCTGATTACATTGACATCGGTGTTCACTGAAGTATTAACTCTGTTGATATCATGTTTGCTACAACATTCACATACTAACTCTATCAACGTATAGTCCTATTATAGTAGTTCGTTTTAATGCTTTAGTGAACACTGGTATCGATGTTCAATAACTGAGCTTAGTCACTGATAGACTCTATTGGACTGGTCTCGAATCCGAACTTGTTGAGTCAAAATTCAAAAGTTTTGAACTTGACGCGCTGTAGTACTTAATACAATATTCGTAAAACTTGACTCATCTATCAGTCAGAGTTGAAAATATCGATATAGTGTTTAAAAATTCTTCTTATTTTGTTACAAAGTTTTTCTTCTGATCGAATCAATGCATTCACAAAAAGAAATCAAAATAAAAGAAATATTTCCAGCAAAGATATATATCATTAACTCAACATCTAACAAGAGAATTCTTTCAATTGATAAATCAATTTTGAGTCGAGACCAGATGCATTAGCTAGACACATATGAGCTCTGAATATTCTGAAGAAAGTTCATGCCCTTAACGTATTACTGCAATTTCGAATTGATTGAAATAAGAAGATTGAATCTACCTATTGGAGACAATTTCACAAGAAACTATTCCATTTTAAATCTGTTTTTGTACAAATCTTCAAGTTGAAGTTTAAAAATTAATTTTCCTGATGCTACTGGGACAGATCCCGGAATTCATTGAAAAAATGTCATACAATATTGCAGTATCTCTGCAGCAATAAGCTAACAGTACGAACTCTTTTCAAGATATTCGTAACTTATATGAATCTAAATAAGGTAAATAGTCTGGACTAAAAAAAAAGAAGCTTTATCAGTTGGATGACTTCTTTCGTAAGTTCTTGCTTTTTTTCGAAGATTAACTTAACTGCATATTGAAATATGTCTTATAATAATTAAAAATATCTTTTATTTAACTTACGTCCGTTTCTGGTGGTGGTATCTCTCCAATATTTGTTAATACGAGCGTTGACCAAAAAAAACAATATAAATATTGTGTTGTTAATGTATTTGCTGTTGGTGTAGTCATATTATAAACCCATCCATCACTTGAATAACCAATCCAACGACTAATTATAAAATAAAAACAAGCATTCCAATGTATAATTATAAGAATAATAATTAATAATGAAACAAGACGAAAAACATTTGGATGATTTGTTTGTGTTTCAACTTTATCCGAAAATTCAAATGTACGATAAATACGAAATAAACGATTAAAACGTAAAGCTGGTAATAGACGAAGTTTAGGAATAAAATAAAGAAAATCAGTGGGCAATAACGATATTATATCAAGTATAAAAGCTCGACTTCGCATATAATTTTTACGTAATTTTGCAATATCTCGAACAATAAGACCTTGTTCAAGATAACCTAAATAAACAAAAAAAAGTTAAGCATAAAAGTCATTAGATTTTATTGTATCAAACCTTTTCGTGTTTGTATAAATGTATCAACAATATAACAAGTGTCACAAAGATAATCACAAATTAGCCAAACAATTAAAAGACGTTGTTGAAGTAGAAGAAAAGCACTACGACCAATAAGCATTGTATAATTATAAAGTACAGCTAGTGAAACAACCGACGACCAATAATAATAAAATGATTTCGATGGGTCGACTACCCAATTTTTACTAGAATAAAATAATAAAAAAATAGTTGTTAGTGCAATTCTTGCAGGGTTAAGATATGAAATACGATATAGATATTGTTGCTCATTACATAGAGATTGTTTTATTCTATCTAATTTGAAGCTCAATTTGTCACTATCTTTTTACTTGATGGTTCAGAAATGTAATGAGAAACTGGCTCATATACAGGAATGTCCCAAAGTTGTCGAGACTGATGGGTAGGATTGATGACTCAGAAGGCTGATTAGAAGACTAGATTGACCAGATCTTGAGAAGATTGAGTATATCTTTCTTAAGAAGAAGTGAGCTAGAAAACGGATGATACGCTGGAGCTTTGCAAGGGAAAAACAAAAATTCCCCAAGATCAAGGAGAGTGATTTTCCTACTTGTCTACTATTACGAAATACCATTCATAAATAATCTGCAGTTGTATATCAATAATGTCCGTCATGATTTGTGACGTGAGAAAGGGAAGTGCTTATCATGTTTTTGTCACGTCTCTGATATATCGCTATCTGTGATTATCGTACCAGAATGTTATATCTTCAATCATGGAACATTTTTATATTTTCCTAGCAGAATTGAAATTCTCTTAGTACATTCTCTGTTAAAAGAAAGATAATCTCTCTTATCAAATAAATCGCGATCTTCGCTTTCTTAATATTGGCTCTCTCCGACTACCACTAGTCACTGCTAATATATCTATCAGGATCTGTGAGGATTTACGGATCCCGTTTGTCATTGTATGTTACGTTTCCATGGTGATGTCCGTCATTGTCTGTTGGTGACAGGTGCAACTTTCTGTCCTATATTCTTCAACACTCCTGTTAGATCGTGTTTAATAAAAGAATAATAAATATAAAATAAACCTTTGTTCATTTTGAGTTAATTGATTCTTCGTTGATGGTGCAAATTTTTCAAGAAATGAATCAGTTCGTTGTGGAAGTTCATGATGTTGATTATTTCGTCGTATCCATCGTCGAAGACGCTATTTAAAAAACAAAAATACATACGTATATATTTACAAATGACCTATTATTCAAGTAGTAAAAGAAGAAAACTTTTACGATAAGTCAGTACACGATACATAACATGTAATTTACTTACACCTGTAATATTTAATGCACTCTGAAAAAGTAATTTTTATGTTCCGAAAACAAACAAGTTATATTATGATATCAAACAAACCTGAGCTCTTCGAATAAGATTAAACAGAGATATGGTTGCAATTTCAATTTGTTCTTGAGGTGGTTGTTGGAGAGGAGTATCAGTTAATGTTTGAATACTATTTTCAGCATTAGTCGATTGATCTTGATCAGGTTGTCGTGCTGAATACGCTACTGATGGCGGTCGCGTATGATTATTCATAATAACATAAGGTGCAGTTCGTCGATGCTGACGATTCAAGGGAGATGTCATTTTTGTGTACTTTTTTTTTTAATTAAAAATAATATTATACAATAGAAATATTCGAATTTCGAAGGTTAGGATGAATCATTTTTAATTTTAACATTATGTATCTAAAATAAATAATGCTTTTTTTTTTCTCTTTTTTGGTCTTGCAATTGTTATTTATGACAAAAACAATAAGCGAACATTCAAAATAGAAATGTTGATTATTCATTTTATCGAATATTGAATTCTCTCGCTTTTTTATGTGTGTGTTTTTTATAGGATAAAAAGGAAAGAAAAAAAAAAGAGCAGAATATAGAACATCTTTATATATATCTATTCTACCTATAGAAGCTATGGCTACATATATTTCTGAAAGATTTTCCAGCTTTCCATTGTCAGCCGTGCGTGATGATGTTCTTGTGTCAGTAAACACATTCTTGTTTTTTTTCTCTCTTTTGTGTTCAGAATCAGAAGAATCTTTTTTTTTTTCTCACTTTCTATTTTCTTCTTTTCTTAATAGAAGATCCTTTTTCTTTTTTCTTCTTTAAACCAAAGTCTTACAATTACCTGTGAAATGAGATGAGACGCGATGCATCAATAATGTTTTAATTTTTTTCCTTCTGCTCATCATGGTTGAACTTGCTTTTTTTTTTTACTTAATGGTGAGTCAGACAAGATATATACGAGAAAAAAAAGAAAAGATTACATCGCTACGGTTGATAGTTGTCATGGAAAAGTGCTAGTATTATCCTCCTATTTACAATAATGAATAATTGTTTTGCGTTTCTTTCCATAACAGAGATAAGCAGTCATGTTGTTATATGAAAAACTGTATAGACTGACATTTGAAGAGATATTAAAATGAAAAACAATAGGAATCATAACTCTTTCACCTTTCAAAGTGCAATAATTCTGCTGAATACATATTCATTAGAATAGTAGAATGATTGTATAAAAACAGAAAAGAAGGAGCATGTACTTTGAAAACTTGAAAGATCAAAAGCATAATCATGTAGATGTCATTATCTAACGATATTTTGATTGTTTGTTGTAAAAATGAATTTTTATTATTAAAGAAAAATTCATTTCAATGTCAAACATGTTTGAGATATAAATTAATTCAGCATGATTATTATTTGTTGTTTTCTTGTGTAATACAATTTTATTTGTTAATGTTTGTTTTAAACTGCAAAGTGCTCATTATTGAGAGGTTTTCAATTTCTTTTTTGCAACCACTAATCGACAACAAAAGTTAGGTATGTGCAGTGTTGTGGTAAACATTGACAGGAAGTTACCGACACAGGATTTACTGAACCATTTAGTACACTGGTATTCACATTCGCTGTTACATTGAAACATCAATTCGATCAAAAGATGCCTTTTTTGTAGCGATATTTTCTAGTGAGTCAGCGGATACTCGTACCAGTGTCCAGTAGTTACACGCTATGAGAGAATTTTATCAGCTGCTTCCTTCTAATTCCAATAGTTCTCTACCTATAGATACTACATAGTGTTCTAAAAAAAATATAAAAGGAATTTGATTCAGATTGAGATTTGACTGATGTAAGTTATCGAGTTTTAATATGACCATTTTCTAGAGCTCTCAGATTTTCGAAAAACTTGTGTTTTCGAATTTTGATCTAAAATTTGGTGCATATAAAGAACTTAACTAGACTAATCTACATGGAAAAAATTTAGAAGTTTTGAACAAAGCCTCTTCGAGGTATAACACTCTTGAAATATAGATCGTTTGCCACGGATAGTATATACAATATGCCTGTTTTTTTTAAGCCTCATATCTCGAAGAGACTTTATCCAAAACTGATGCATTTTTTTTTTATCAAAGCTATTGTTGTTGACTTCTCTATATGCGCAAAGTTTCAGATCTAAATTCGGAAATACGAGTTTTCTGAAAGTCTGGAGGCTCTAGAAAATAGACCTATTCAAAATTTGATAGCTTGATCAAATCTCAATAGGAAACAAAATCCTTTTAGAATTTCCATTAGAGCTCTATGTAGTATCTATTATCTATAGGCAAATAATTATTGAAGGTGGAAGGAAGCAGCTGATAAAGTTTCCTCGTCAGTACAAATAAAACTGCATATACCTAGCCGAAAGTGATCTTTTTCTTCTTTTCAACAATTAATTAATTTAACTTTTTTAAATCAGAAGTAAATGAAGATATGTTGACATGATTTGATGTTACTAGCTATTAATACAAAAGCAATAAAAGGTTACACAAAACAATGTTGTCTAATATTGATTATTTTCCTATTAAATATGCACGATTAGTTCATCTCCTTTTCATATGGGTCCCATGACTGTTTATCATAACTCAATTCACATAATATCATTTTGATTGGTCCTGCACGTGAGTGATACAACTTATATTGCTCACATTACACAGAAGTTGTTATTGTTCATAGAACCAGAAATAAGCGATCACTACTTACAATAAAGAGTTGCTCACATAGAGAGGTTTTACTGTATATGATCGAGACAAAATACTCATGAAATGAAGGTTCACTTAAGCCAAATAAATTTTCATGGACTTACACGAAAACGTTTTCTCATCTACCATTAACAGTCGAAAAGACAATACTTATTTTTAATGAATTTTTCATCATTCTTAATATGTAACATCCTGTTCGAGTTTCTTTTGCGGCAAGCAGTCGTTTATTATTTTCTACTGTTTTAAGATATTGTTTAATACATATCCAATCAAATAAAAAATTGTATAAAAAACTCAGAACTTATTCATATACTATTGATTAAAACATGAGATATATTAAATAAGAAAAATCTAATATGAACGTCCTATGGAATTCGATTATATACAATATCAACTGTACAATACAAAATAAAGGATTTCATTGTCACTAAGTTTGAAACTCTGTCGATAAGTAGAAATATCCAAAAGAATTCTTATTGGAATGCTCTAAGAATAAAAATGGTTTATCAACTCGATTCTTATGTTTTTCTTTCTATCTATTCAAGGAACTTCTATTGACATATAAAATATTTGAAGAATTTTCTCAACTATTGACAAGCAAATATATTAAGGCCTATATAAGATAAGATACAATACAGTCTTTTACAAATTTCTTTTTTTGATTGTTTATAGTAAAATTTTTAAAGCATATTGGAATATCTCGCATAAGTCTTTTTTTTTAAATATTGAAAAAATGGCTTTAAAATACAGAAAGTTCTTATAGTGAATTTACAATTTTGAGCAAAATAATCAATACAAATGTATAGATAATGTAAATAATATCTATTGGTTGATTGATGCATATCTAATCGAATGATTTGTTTGTCTTATGCAATCTGTAGCTTGTATATAACATGTTAACGTTCTACAAATATAATGAAGCAGAATAATAGCTGCAACTAGCGTAGAAAGTTAGTATGCAGTATTTCTATATTGATGATATATTACTTCGTACAATCCAAGTGCATACACATTAGCACGGTATATCAAATAATGATAACCTATTGTTATTATTTTGTCTAACAATAGTGTAGACTTTGATTTCGATGATAATTTATCTATATTAGTACATTACGTACTATTTAAAAAACGAATTCATTCGACATAAAATAGCTAATATATCAATTCATCAGTGATAAATGTTAAACAAATGTTATCGTTGTGTTAATGACAGTCTGTATTTCTTTAGAATACTTATCATCTTGAAAACATTCCATTGTTTCATTTTTTTTTTTCTTTTAAGAAAAAATTCAAACTATCAAAGCATTACTATGATGATCTTAAATTTTGAATATTTATGTCGATTAACAAATCTCTGTACATGATTACTAAAAAGAAAATATCATTAAAAAAAATAACGAGTAAGGGGAAGTTCCTTCTCTCATGTACACAGAAGGAAAGAAGCAGCAGTTGTATACAAGCAAGATAAGATTATTGATATTGTCCTTGGTAAGAACTAAATGGAGTGGTGTGATATTTTTCTTTCTCTCTGATACCAGATATTCGTTATTCTTAATAGAATAAAAGATAAACAGCAAATCAAGAAATAAAACAAATTATTATTTCGACTATTATTCGCTGTTTATTTCTGATTTTATTTTAATTCTCAAATGAACATATTCTCAGATTATTGTTTGTAAAATTAAAATTCAGTTTAATCTGTAAAATAAAGGATAAAAAATTGATTTATAATTAGTATAAATCATTTTTAATTTGATATATGATTAATATTCTATTGTATATTGCAAGTTTATTAAATCTTAACATAATAGTTTGAAGTACAGAATTCTTTAAATTTGTTTGTGCCAAAATGATAAAAAGCTATGCTTTTTTTCTACTTGCTTCTCTTTCTTATTTTTTTATTATTTTCTTTGAGTTGATATCATCAATGAAAACAAAGTGTAAAACATAAGATATTGACCTCGAATGGAGAATTGTTTGTTATGAGGATGACGTTACTTGCGAAAGAACATAGCAATGTGAAAAAATTCTTATCTTTTATTCCCTGTTAGTTATGTTGAAGATGAAAGTGCATATATTTGACCACAATAAAGCTTTTATTTTATTTATGTTTTTTTCAATATTTATCATATTTTATTTTATAATATTTAAATATTATTTTTTGAACAAATTTTCAGTTATGAATCAACAAGGAAATATCAATAGTGAGACCGATGGTGATCACGAACCCGACCATTTAGGTACGTTATTTGAATGAGTTGATTTTATCTTGAAATAAATTGTTTTCCTTTACCCCATATAGTTTATATTTGTATAGAAAATATTAACTTTAAAAGACTAATCAAAGAGTCGTTTACAAAAAATGAAATTTTTCAGATTAAAAAAAAAAACTATAAGGTATTTTTAAAGTTTCTTTATTTTTAGAATCTAACCCAAACTCTCTATATCAACATCATCGTAGAAGAACAGTTAATTCATTTACTTCGTCTATTGTTAACAATTTAGTTACTCAACCTTGTTGGCTCTGTCATAAGTATGTAGTATGTGTGCGACATCTTATCTAATATTGTTC